TCCTAAAAATTTTTTTTATATGATGAATGGGGACATTTTTTCAATAATATATGGAATCAATTCCATCACATTAAGCCCGAAATTTTGGTCATCAATTGGTGAGAATGAGATGAGAAAATCACAACAAAGTTTTGCTAAGTCTTTAAGTTAGCATTTTTTTTCAACAATTGGTGAGAATTTTATTAAACTTAGTGGAATAAGTTTTATCTACCAAAAAGCTCATTTATGGCTATAGATAGAGTCCATTTTTGATGATTAATTATGTTTGGATAAGAATACAAGTTAATCATAAAATAATTTATGATTAATTAAGTTTATAAGTTTAAATTGTTCATTTTGTTCATTTCTTCACTCCATTATGATGTCTTGCCAAATTGTGCCTATAAATAGAGGCCTAAAAATCAGAGTTCTCACACTAAAGAAAAGTACCAAAAGATATATAAGAGTGTAAGAGAGATAAGTAATAGAAATTGTGAAGAAGTGAAGAATTTAGAAGTGAAGAATCAAGTTACGATTCTAGCAAGAAGGAGGTAATTTACTTATCTTAAAGTTTTATGCTTAAGTTCATACTTTGATAATGAATTTAGATGTTTATAAGTATGTATATGATGATTGAGAAGTTAAATTTATAATTGATTATATGAATACAAAGAGTTAAAGTTGTTCAAGATCAATTATATGATATATGTACTTGATTTGATGAGATGTTGGTGAGATATGAATAATATGGAAAATTATGATTTAAATGAGTACTTCTTGTGTAAAAGAGGAGTACATGAGAACAAGAATTAAGTTATTTGGCATAGTATAACTTAAGTTATAGAGATTTGAAGATGAACATGTATGCTGAATTTTATGTTCAATGTTTTAGTTGTAACTTCAAATTCTAATAACTTCATGTATATGCATGCTAAAATTATGAAATTTTTATGACATGTCTAATTATGAGTTGAGATTATGACTGTTAAATTTCATGATTTGAAGATGAGAAATGATTAAGTTGAGATAATTAGATGGCATATATGTAAAGATGAGTTTATATGCAAGAATATTCATGATATGTTCAAGTTGTTTAAATGAGATTATTATGAACAATTCTCAAATAAGTGATGAACAATTTGACAAAGTTTTAGTTTAATATATTGAGTATACAATTTTATAAAGATTGTTTTAAATCTTACATATTAATATCATGATTAAAAGTTGAGTATGATTTGAGTTTATTTTCACTTTCAAGTTAATTAAGTGAAAAATGAGTATAAGCCAATATAAAAGTTTGGGAGATATGATATATGATGAGTTATTTGATTGAGTAAAAGATCAAGAAAAGTTAAGCTTGAGCAATAGCATGAATATTGAAATTTTATAAGATTTGGATGATTTATCAGAAAGAGTTGAAACTCCGAACATCTTATTGAGTATACGAGCATAGTACTTAGTATATTTGTTTATATATTTTTATGTAGCTTGAGGAGTTAGCTACTCGAGATCAACACTTACGATTTTTCAAAGGAGAAAGGTGGGGACCCAGACTGGGTATTACATTTAGTATAATATTGATATCATGTTCTAGGTATGTATACAGTTTAAGTTTATACGCTTGGGATGAGGAGGCATTCAGTTGTCTCAGAGTATATCCTAAGTTCTGATGGAGGCCGTTTGAGTTTTCTTGAGAAATATCCATCAGATTGTGCACAAGTATCCGATCAGATATCGACCAGATTCAGTTTAAGTTACTGGAACAGATTTCCAGCCAGATATATACCAAAGATCATGATATTGTATTATTATTGTTGTTTACTTTAGTATGGGTGATTTCGGGGTACAAGAGGATCAATACTCACCCCCAATGTGTTTTTCAGGTAACAGGGTCGGGCCGGAGGTGTGAGCTCGAGATGTGGTGGTGGTGGTCGTGCACTTATTTCATGTGGACATTTATTAAGTATTTGATATGTGTGTATAATAAAACATGTTTTTAAGTATTTCCGCTATGCACATTAAGTATTGAACTTGCATTTTTAATAAATTTCAGATTTCAAGTTTATACCATTTCGAGAAATATGAATATGGTACAGTTAAATGCAAGTTTAAAGGAAATCTGTTTTCTTTATGTCTAGAGAAGTATTAGACAGAAAGTTTAAAGATAAATGGATTTTCAAGAAGATGAGTTTGAGTAGCATCTCGAGTTAGTCGCAAAATATTTCGAAAGAATTATAAGTATTTTTGAAGTAGAAGTTGCGAAAAATTTACTCTGATGAGCGGGGTGTTACACTAGTATTGATGGTTGCTTCCTTCAGTCTCTCTTACAGCGCATGACCTTTGACAATCGTCCAGCTGGTCACTGAGGAGGAGAGATCCTCGTTTGATCGCAAGGATGGAGCGGCTCGAGCTAGATAGGGCTTGCTCGATTATTGGAGCAAGTTCGACCATTCCCTGTAGGGGCACATAAAAGAAAGAATTAGAGCATAAACAACAAGAAGAAATAAAATAAAAATGATAATGATAATCATCAAGTTATAAGGGGTTACCTGAGCCAGCCATCTGGCGATGCTGTCACCTCGGTCATGAAGGGTATGACCATCATTGTAATGGTCGGTAGGAAAGTCAACAGCAGGAAGAACGTCACTTAGAAAGGACGACACCCCAACACCATCGAGCTGGGTCAGTGAGAGGGTGGAGGAATGCGTGGCAGGGGCAGTCTCCTCGAGTCTACGACGTTTATTAACCCCCTCAGTTCCCTCAACAGGGGGACGCTTGAATCGGCTCTCCTCGAGTTGACTCTCCCCGAACAACTTGGCATTAGGAGAAACATGTATATGAATGATTGGAATGCTCGAGTCGGGAGGAGGAGAGCTTGGTCGTGGTGATGGAGGTCGTTCAGATTGTTCGAGAGGAGCGACGATCGTAGAGGGTGTAGACTGCACCTCGATGAGTGGCTCCTGGTTTGGAGTGATTTAAGGCTCGACCTCTATCACCGAAGTCATCCGACCCGGTGGCGGTGATACGGAGCGATTAGACGGAGGCGAAATATGGCGTTGTGACTGCGAGGTGGTCGAGCCTGCAAGCCTCGAGCTCGATCCTTCAGCAGATTTCTTCTTCAGAGGAATCCTCTTCTTAGGCAAGGGGATTGCAGGCATCTCTGTAAAGAATCAAGAACAAATTAGCATCGCAACAGACAAAACACATGTAAGAATAAAAACAACAACACTCGAACACGGTAGCCACTAAATACCTGGATCGTTTTCGATGAAGACGAGGTCAAGGGTTTCCTGAGTAGGACGAGATAGGGACTTATGGGTAAGGAGGCCGCAAAAATGTACAAGGTTATCATTTTCAAGGAGAGTTTTTGACGCAACAGGCTTGCGGTTCTACACAACAATACGTTGGTCGAAAAGAGCGTTCTAAGGGGGCGACGCATGTTCGCACTTGAGCTCCTTAAGCCAAGGAGTTGGCGCCCAGGGGAAAGCAGGTTTAGGCTCGACAAAAGCAAATCAATGCTTCTATTTAGGAACATTGGAAGGAGTGTCGGAGATGAAGTGGACGTCATTGTGGCTTTTAAGGTAAAGCCCTTGAGGATGTTTCGAGGGCGTGTAGCAATAATAGAAAAAGGCTAGGTCGAGTCAACCAAGACGTAGGTGACAGAGGAAAATGAAGAGTGAAGGAAATTTTAGGCTTTTCTAAGGAGAAGTAAGGACTAAGAAGGGGAAGGAAATTTTACCAAGGGCATTTTAGGCTTTTCTAAGGAGAAGTGAGGACTAAGAAGGGGAAGGAAATTTTACGGTTGGAGACATGAAGAAGATTTTGAAAAGTGAAGAATTAATAGAAAATATTGAAGAACAGACAAATAAAAACACGCAAAAACAAAATTAAAAGTGTGGGAGACTTACTCATGGTTGCAGTGAAGAAATTTGTCGGAGAAACTGGTAATAATGAAGTCAAAAGCGCCGAGAGCAGAGGATTGGAATTTGCAGAAGATAAATTTTGGGCACAAGTATGTTAAGAATGGCAAAGGTGGAAAAAGCTGGAAAATCGCTAAGTGCGGTACTTATATGGATACAGGTGAAGGCATGATGAAGAATTGGGAGAAAGAGCCGTTGGATTAAAGCGAGATGTAACGGCCGGGAGAATTACAGGTGGCACGGATAGCGAAGCGGCGCAGATCGCGAGGAGACACGATGATTAGAATTACTGGACAGATAAGACACGTGGCAGAAGAAAACAATATCAATAATAAAGAAAAATTAAGGATGGCTGGATATTTATAATGGAACCAGCCACGTGGTCGAAAAAGGGGATAAGGTTCGACGAATGGTCGACGAATAGAGACAACACCGGTCAAGAGGTCAAAATGACGTTAAACCCAAGAGACAAACACAAACTCACTCTTAGATCGAGTCATTCAGACTCGATCAGAGTGGGGGGGACTAGATGATATGGGATATTATACACCGAAGGAATAAACCGGTCCATTATGCTGGTCATACAAGCCTAATATCGGGGAAACCACGTTGGTCGAGCAATAATAGGCTGTAAGGAAGTGGTCGAGCATGGTAGCAGATCTGGTGTACGGACGGTCAGATCTGACACACACACACTGCGTGTGTACGGACGGTCAGATCTGGGCAGACAGCTCATCAAATCCGGACAGCTCCAAGGGCAGGTATCTCACTCCTATATATATGGGAGTGAGTCTTTCTTGTGGTTTACGATTTATCCATTTCTTACTTTGGAGAATTGAGTGAGATATATACTGACTTAAGCATCAGAGGCTCTTCACTGGCATTGCAGGTACGAGGCGTTCTACCGGCGAGGAGGAGGAAGACGAGCCGATTTCAGGCCGGCCGGAGTGTTTTGCATTACCAAAGTCATTACACATTCAATAAATAATCAAACACTAATGTGGACCCCACCATTAACCCTTCCCCTCCCCCATCTCACACACACACAAATACGAATTTCACGCATGCACACAGGTCTCTCTCTCTCTCTCTCTCACACACACACGGCCACAGACGGCGGCACTCCAGCCCAAAGCCACCTCCCACCATCTCTGACCTCACCCAGCGCCGCCCCGCCATCGCCAGATCCAGCCACCCACCGTCAGTCGGTCGCCGTCCGTACTCTACCCGCTGCCAATCCTCGTTCGATGCCTAGCCACCTGCTGCCACACACCAGACCACCGGTTCCATCGAAGATCCCGTTGCCGTCCACCGACAGTGCAGTCACTATCGCTGCCGGAGATCCACCCAGATACAGTGGGTCTCGTCGGAAAATAACAACCGCCACGGAAAGTTTCGTTGAGAGCGCCACTACCATCGAGAAAACTCTCGCCGGTGTTTAGAAACCCCGCCTTCCAGAGAACCCTCGCCGATAACGTTCCCGTCAACCACCGCCTTACAGTGACAATGCTATGAAGCGGCGGAATGCGGCGACGCGACGCGACGAAAACGGTGGTCTGGCGGCAGCTGTTGTTGTGTGTAAATCGATGCCGTCGGTGTGCTGAAGGGGATGCACGGCTGGAAAAAAAATGTTCATGACAGAGGATGAGTTTTTCTTTTTGACGAGAAAGAGGAATGAACTAATTCAATTTGTGGGGTTTCTTTTACGTAAATTAGATAAACTATATGGATTAATTTGCAATTTTAAAAACTTCATTTGAGGTAGTTACGCTTTAATTTGAGATGGAGTTGCTTCTTGCTCTTTAATTGTGTGAATCGTGACTTGTTGCTTGCTTTCTTTTGAAGAATTGATGACAATATAACTTGTGATTAATTATATTATTTAATAAATATCGATTAAATATAGAATGTTGATAAATAATTTTAACAATATATGTATGGTTATTTCAACTTAATTTTTTCATAAATTTTATTATTAGTATTTTATACTTTTTAATTAATAATTTATATTATTGTTTGATTAAAAAAAATAGTATATACGTAAATAAAATATATTATGCAATATATCAATTACTAAAGTGCAATTCCTCCAACATTATAGTACACGGTCTCGGCATGTATTGTGCATATCGAACCAATTGAACGCTTGTCCCAAGTCAAATTGAAAATGAACATAATTAATTAATATATTCGGTTCGGTTAACTGAATTATCCCAAATAATCGATTTTTTTACTTATATCTAAATTATATTTAATACTTTACAAATTTTATTTATTATTTTTATATTATTTTAGGTTGAAAAAATTCGAGGTCGGTTGGATTCGTTTTCTATTGTGCAATCTGATAGCGTGTTAAAGTGCAACGTGCCGTTCTGTAAAGTGCAACGCGTTGTTTTATAAAGTTCAACGTACTGATATATAAAGTGAACTACTGTAATTTACACATGTTGTCATTGTGAAATCTAATAGCGTGTAAAGTGTAACGTATCAAAGTTATATTTAATACTTTACTAATTTTATTTATTATTTTTATTATATTTTAGGTTGAAAAAATTAGAGGCCGGTTGGTTTCGTTTTCTATTGTGCAATCTGATAGCGTGTTAAAGTGCAACGTGCCGTTTTGTAAAGTGCAACACGTTGATTTATAAAGTGCAACGTATTGATATATAAAGTGAACTACTGTAATTTTGATACGTTTTCATGCTTGTGTTGTGTGGATTAAAGATTATATATATCCGTTTTTTTATAATTATATTGTGCGGTATTTTGACGGGACACATTGGACTTAGATTGTGGACTGATGATAAAGTGCAAGATGTCATTTAATAAAGTGCAACATGTCGTGTTATAAAGTGCAACTTGATATATAAAGTTCACTGATTTATGATTTATGATTTATATGATCACGTATATATTATGTGTTTTTGAAACCTGTAATTAGTAGATATAGATGTACATTGAATTAACTTAAAGAATTAAAATAAATTATTATTTATATTATAAAAATATATTAATTATTATTTATATTTTGAAAAATATATTAATTACGTTAACAGATTTATGTAATATTTTATATTTTTTTTGTTGAATATACATAATAAACATTGGTATGAAAATTCATATAAAAAAAAAAATATTTTTATATATTTTTTACAAATTACAAATTTGGCCCATGGGTTAAAATTGAAATATATTCAAATTTCTTAAATTGCAAAGGAGTCCTTTGAGCTTCTCTAATTCTCAACTTGATGCCAACAAAATTCAGAAAATTAATTTTGTTTCTAAATAGCATAAATCAGTCCGTTCAACTTCCTCTGTTATCTGTTGGGACTGCACCACTCCCCGCAGCGTCCGACGGCGGGCCTCGACGGCGGTGGTCGGTGGTTATTGTCTGTGAGAGGCGGCGGATCTCGGTGGTGGACTGCGCTTGGTGGTCGGAATGGGCCTGGAAGACAGCGGTTGTCCTGTTCGTCGGTGTGGTGCGCTTCGGTCGTCGGTTGTTATCGACGGGTTGGCTTCACCGTATATGAACTGCGGCGGCCGGTAGAATGACTGTGACGGAGCTGTGTTTGTGCGGCAGAGAGAGAGAAAGCGTGGTGTGGGATGGTGATGGCGGGGATCCTCCGGCAACTGCGGCGCGTCGCTCCGGCGGTGGCGGAATTTTTTCCGGCGGCCTGGTGGAGATGTGTGTATGTGATGGTGGCGGTGGAATTTTTTTCCGGGGCAGCCTGGTGGATATGTGTGTAGGTGATGGTGTGTGTGTGTGTGTGTGTGTGTGTGAGAGAGAGAGAGAGAGAGAGAGAGATAGATAGATAGAGAGAGAGAGAGAGAGAAAGAGAGAGAAGTAGACACGGTAATTACCTAGCAATAGCTGTGTGGGGGTGGGTCCAATAATGTGGATATATAATTTATGAAATGTTCTAATTACCCTTAATGAGATATAATTTTAGAATTTTTTTTAACCATTAGATCATCTGATCTAATGGCCACGATTTATTCTCATTTCTTTCATTAAGCACCATTCTCATGTGAACCCAACTATATATATATATATAAGAAAATTTATTGTGTATTTCAAATTTGATTTTCAAATTTTAAAGTCATAGAAGTAAATAATTAATCAGGTCAATATTAACTTGGACGTAAATGAAATAGTCAATTATTTATAGTTTAATAAATTACTCAACTACTACTTAATTTTTTTTTATTTTTTTTTATTTTTTTTGATTTGGATAGTTTATACCAAAATAAATTCATTTGAATTAATTAAACAATATAAGTTTTATAATTATTCTTATTATTCACATAGATTTTTAAATATATGATAAATGTTTACCAAAAATATTTATTTTATGCAATCACATTGTAGTCAAATCGAAGCACTTATCTTGAAATATATATATAATGTAATTTAGTATCAGTTACATGCAGGAGCGAATCCAGCAATTAGAATGAGGTGAGGCCAGGATTTTGTGGTAATTGAAAAAACGATGAAAACAAATTGACACAATATAAGACATACTAAATTACCGTTTTTTATATATTTTTTATTTTTGTAAATAATTCAAAATGAAATATCAAAACACTATACAATTTGCATATTTCAGTATAATTATCCATTTCAATGACTTAAAATGTGTTATTATCAATACAAAATTATTCATTGCCAAGATCTCATGATTCATCAGTTACATGTCATAAAATGTATGACAATCTTATTAATACTCGTCGTGGGTATAGGAGAGCGATAATATTTTTCAGTATGTTGGATCAAATAACTTATTGTGATTCCATCTCTTATTAGTTGATTTCATTGTTCACACGAATTTTTATTGACAATGATTTTCTAACAATTATTATAGTAGAATGCAAAGTCATGATAATTTTATTTAAAGATACAACGAATAAATAAGACATTGCAATAAGAAAATTTTGTTATGAAAGAAGGAGAAAAAAAACTTAATTGATAAACAACTTTATTTATAAATTATTTTTGTAGAATTACTCACTTTACACTTATTTTCTAGAAAATTATGTAGTAAAAATATAAATTCCAGGTGGGGCCTAGAGGCTTTGCATCCGCTCCTGGTTACGTGCATCGTACGACTTGTGTACTAATTATAAATAAACACGATTTATGTAATTTTGCACAATTTAAATTTCATATAACATTTTCAATAAAATAATACAGGTAAATTGTATTAAATATTGATTTCATATTTTTAAGTTATAAATATTATTTAATGAGAAAATTTTAATTTCTAATTATTAATGAAAATCTCTTACCCGTGCATCGCACGGGATTCGTACTAGTTTTCACCAATTAAATTATAAATCACCACGTAATTATTAATTATATATGCTTCACGAGGACATGCATGCACTAATTAAAGTCTCATCTTTCTTGATCATATATATTGAGTATTGACATATGTCAAACAAAATCAGTTAGTATCTCAATCAGTTGAAAAAAAACCTCAAATTAGCTAGCTGTACATCCAAAAAGATAATTAAAAAAATAAAAACAATGACCTTATTATCAATGCGATCCATTGAACAATCTCACCAACCATATATGCTTGCTGATGCCAAATGAAAACAACTTAATATTCTTATCCTATATCCTATATTCCTAAAGGTATATGTTTTGAAACTAATTTTAGACCAACTCAAGTAAATAAAAAGTGAATAATTAATGTACAGGGAAAAATTTAGAAGTATAGGAAATCAGTAAGTGATGAAAGGATGAATTAATTGAATAAATTAATAGGTAGCTACCAACTCCTTGTCTTTTGAGTTGTTTGGTAGAGAGAAAATGAGGTACGTATGTAGGTACCAACCTCTCCCCACCTGCAACTCCATATACTCAACCACCGGCACCTAAAACTCCATCTACTACTCCACCACTGGCACCTAAAACTCCATCTATTACTCCACCACCGACACCTAAATCTCAATCTACTCCACCAGTATACGGACCTCCACATATTCTGCTGGAGGCGATTCCGCTTGACGGCTATGCTAATTCTCCACCAACACCACCTGCAACTCCATCTACGCCATCTGCACCGACACCTCCAACTACTCCATCTACGCCATCTCCACGGACACCTGCAACTCCATATACTCAACCACCGGCACCTAAAACTCCATCTACTACTCCACCACTGGCACCTAAAACTCCATCTATTACTCCACCACCGGCACCTAAATCTCAATCTACTCCACCAGTATACGGACCTCCACATACTTTGCTGGAGGCGATTCCGCTTGACGGTTATGCTAATCCTCCACCGACACCACCTACAACTCCATCTACGCCATCTCCACCGACACCTCCAACTACTCCATCTACACCATCTCCACTGACACCTGCAACTCCATATTCTCCACCAGGTAAGACCCCACCAACGCAGC